AGTGTTGGGAATAAAAAATAAAATAAATATAATTATAAATAAATACAAATTTGTTTCTCTTGGTTCCTCTTTTCTAACAAATAAATAAATATAAGCACCTCGATCAAGAGTCTTTGAACTCATTTTCTTTTTGTTTCTGCTAAAAAAGTAAATGCACCTTTCTCAGAGAAAAACTGGAAAAGTGGTTTTTAACCTGTGCTGATCTTGACGATCAGATGATGAATGTGTACGGAGTACCCAGTTTTTCATCTGACTTAAAATCTAAATTCAATCTAGCACCTAAAAAATATGTGGCTGTTACTATGCGTCAGTCAGATGCCGATTTTCAGAACTGAACAAAAGCCCTGGTTTTAAAATTCAAACGACACCAGATCTGAATGACCATCATTATGTTTTAATGCTGTGGAACAGGGACAACACTTGTCCAGATGAAGATTATTTGCAGCGCTCGTTGGCTCTCCCCCAGGAACACCAGCATGACTCTGCGAGGATTAGGCACGACCACGGAACGCCAAGAGGCCGAGGCGTCCTCACACCTCCTCAGCCTCTCGCTGAGCAGGTTACATAAGGCTGTGAATGGGATGCTCCACTTTATGAAACCATGCGTGGCTGCTGTCACATCCTCTGATTGGGCGGAATGTGGGGAATCTGCTGAAGGAGGAATCGGAGGACGAAGACACTGAGGCCTTTGTCTGTGTCAGATGCTGTTTTCACCCTGAGCCAATGAGTCTCGGGTCCTTTTTTGACCATCGTGTTTCCCCCGCAGGTTCCACTCAGGTACCATCAGACCTGCAGCAGCATGTTCGACTTCTAAAAACAAAATGCTTGTCTGCTTTTCAGTGACAAGTCACTCTTACATAACTGCCGCTTTCGTATCTTCACCCAGCTGCTCAGTATGACTGAACATTCCCCAACCAGATCATTTTTTATCTCCCTGTCTGCACCATCGCCGCCCTGACGGAGCCGCTCGGGAATATCAATGAAGTTTGTCCCCGTGCAGGAGAAACTAAACACAGAGCGAGAGAAGCACTGAGGTCGTCGGATTTCGAACGAGACAGGGAGATGGAAGGAATCTTTGAGATGTGATGTCAGGAAATCTGTGGAGTCTGACAGCAAAGGTTCAAAACAGAAAGAAAGATGATGTTCGTGAACATGACGGCAGCACTTTTGGAGAAAGGAAGTGCCGAACAAAGAGCTGGAGAGGATGTGTGATAAAAAGCAACAACAACCAATCCATCACCAACCTCAAGCCACTTCTTTACCACCAGGACTTCATTATTATTTAAGCTCATTTAATCAGCTGTTTAAATGTGGATGAATAATTCACGTTATTCACATTATGTATCACAAACAAATCAGAAACATCCTTCTGTTGATGTTTGGCTGTGGAAAACCAAATGAAGCTGATCAATCAATATAGTTAATTAAACATAGACACGTGCAGGGTTAACCCATGATCCTCTCTGTTGTGCCGCTCCGGGGTTGATGGCACAACCCGGAGCAGAGCAACAGCAGACGTTCTGGGACATGATTCCAACTATTCAATTTAAAAGAGTTGACATCTGAAGTCACAATGGTGGTCTTTTTTTATTTTATTAAAAAGAGCAAATTCTATAATTTAAACTGAGCAAGTGTTTTTATTTCTAGCTCAAGTTAATGTCACAAGTTTCCTAATGGTGTCACCTTCAACAGTGGCAAGACTCAGCCATGATTCGGCTACAGGAGAAGAGAAAAACGGCAGCAGACGAAAACATCAGGGATGTGTGGACCAATGAGAAGTCTGCAACATTGTCAGATTGACAGTTCAAAACCCCAAACCAATTAACCAAATTATGACCTAAGCAATGAATCATTGAATTGTCTGTCAACTGACAAATCAGATCTACTCTGATTCCGCTGTCACACACCAAAGACCATATAAATAACTTAAACCAATCTACTAAAACAGCTTTTAAACCTATTTTCTTTCCTGTTTTCGATTAATCCCAGAGCAGGAACCAGCCACAGTTTGCACCAGACTCTTCTCTGCCTCTCTGCACCTGTCAGCTCCATCAACAGGCTCTGATTCTCTGACCGAACATCTGGACGTCAGCAGCCTGCAGGCCTCAGCTCACTGTTTGACATCGTGCACTAATTAGTGAGATCTGTCATCAGCCCTCGACCCTGAACGCCTCAGAGGGATCTCTTACATGAGCGTTCCTGCTGCAGCTTCTCATAATTCCACGTGCGCTGGTAGGAAACGCAACACGGCACCTAAATGCAAGATGGACGACATGACAGCTCCACCAAAAGTGAAGCCAAAGCATCTCGATTGGTCATAAACTCTCCCCCTCCATGTTAGTGGATGGGACATGGACCAAACTAAAAAGTCGAATAAATGATTACAAACATTTTTGGCCACAAAAATCAAATAATTTCATTTTTAGAATTTCCAAGAGATTTTTCAGGACAGCAGGAAACAACCAGAAAACATAGAGACTTCCAGCTACAGAGGCATGAATGCATATGTCTCATACACAGGTTCTACTATATAAAAGCATGACAAACAATTCTAGAGTTCCTGAAAATATATATTTTAATTTCTCCATTCCAGACGTCTGCTACAGTGCAGAGAGGCTGGAAAACGAGCTCAAGCTGCTGTTTATCAGGCTGTGGTGAAGCTGCTGCAGACAGAGACTAAACTCTGCCTCCTCCACGTCAGCTCAGGGTGAGAATGGGGAGACGGGGTGAGGCAGCACGCGAGCAGCACCAGGCCAGAGACGTTGACCCACTGGCGGATCCGAAGCGACGTGTTGTGGCATTTTCATTGCACCGGCGGGCTGCAGAGCTCGATCTGTGCTGCCTGACTGCGCTGATAAAACAGCGGCCTGACACACAGCGAATGCACAAAGAGCACGCTCAGAGTCTGCAGGGTTTTTATCAGGCGGCGGCTCCGAGCAGAAATTCCCCCTCGTGTCCCCTCACTGTTTCTCAGTCTGCCATGTTCAAAACAAATCCAGGGTTGTTTTCGTGATGAAACACCATCTTCCACTTTTCCTCTAATCTGCCTCGCCTGTTCCACTTTGGCGATGTCCTGCCATTACCCAGAATGCCGCTCCGAGTGTTCTCAACAAGAACAGGTTAGACAACTGGAGTCTTTGTTGTAAACATGGTAAAAACAACTCGCTTGAATGCACCACAGGAACAAAACCCAGTGATGTTTTAGTTCACTGACGTCTGCATTTTTTACTTTCAGCAATTTAACCACATTTAACCACTCCCTTTACCTTCTATTGGTAATTTTATGCATGTAAATGTTTGTTCGTTGAGCACTTTATTAGGAACACTCCATTATTGATGCAATTATCCAGTCAGCTGATCATGCGGCAGGAGTCTAGGGCATAAAAATCCTTCAGACACAGGTCATGAACTTCAGTTCACGTCAAACATCACAAAATGTGAACTCAGCCAGACAGGCACATCACCCCAACCCTGATCCATCTTCACAGGCTTCCACTCAAGTCACGCATGAAGTACAAAATCCTCCTCCTCACCTATAAATCCCTTCAGTACCTATCTGACCTCCATCCCTATAATCCACCCCGGAACTTACGATCCTCGAATACGGGTCTTTTCACCAGCCACCGTACGAGTGGTGGAACTGTGTCACAGTTACACGACAGAGACCTCCACAGACACCACACGTGAACCTCGTAGATCATGTTTGGGACGTGGCAGCTAGAACGTGCATTAACGATGAGTTGCAGTCGTGTCGACATGGAGCGGAGGTCACAAGATCACGTCAAAGAGCGGTTCCTACAACATTCCCTCACTGCTCGCTCTTAATATTAATAAAATAAATATCAGATTAAACTCATCATGCTGCAGCAACCCTTGGGAGACTCCAACCTCGAAAGCTTCTCACACATTCCCACGAAGCAAAGAATAGAAACACATTAAAAACCTCAGACTCCACGTTCATCCAGCTGCCTTGTCAGGGCACCCAGTTTACTTGAGTTCAACCAAAAACAGATGACTTATCGATTTTAAATTTTTGTAATCATAGACTATAAGCGTCCACAGTGCAAATGACCTATTTTATCCACCACACATTCTTAACTCCATATATATTCAATTTATAATCGTATGACAGAGCACAAAAGCAGCAAATCTTGTTTTTCTGTTGATTGACTTATTGGTTACAGCTATTGACTGATCTCTTAAGCATTATACCACTATTAATAACAGAACAACGTGGTTTCTATTCGTGACAAAATGAAGTATGTTTCAAATGAGTGCATAATATCCCACCCAAAGACTGAAGTCGAATCAATGCATTCACAATCAAAATGCACACATTTGTCTGGTATGATAAAAAAAATAATTACTTATATTTGTGTTTATTATATATATGGTTTTATTTTCATCATTTAACTATATTGAAGTATTGTCTTTACATCATATATCCTTTGTTGTGATGCCCTTCACTTTCTATTTTTTGATGTTTTGCTATTCAATAATAGTAAGTAAGTATAACAAATCTCTTAATACCACATTTAATCAGGGTTGAATTATACGGATAATATCCTGAACTTGAAACTGAGCTTAATTGAAGCTGATTGGGTTTGTTTGAGATCCCTTCAGGGACCCCTGGGAGAGCTCAAACTCCACCACTGGTCTAGACATACAAGACAAACACTGGATTCTCTTGTCAACAGCACCCACCCATCCATCCATCCATCCATCTATCCATCTATCCATCCATTCAATGCAACTGAGTTAATGATCGACCCTGATGCGGCCATCTGGGTCAGACATCACCGACCTCCGCCTCCATCACACGCAGCTCGCTGACCTCAATTAAGACCAAAGCCCTCCTGGTTTGTTCCATTTAACAAACCAGTTCAATTCCAATTAAAACGCACAGGTTTCTTTGGGTTTGACAGCAGGTGTGCGTGTGTGTGTGCGTGAGACTGAAACAAAAGAGACGCATGCACCGTGCGCAACGATCCACCACTCACCCTCATCCCCGGCGGCTTTACGCGCCTCGTCCGCGTTCACATGATGGCAACTGCAGCCGCCTCCTGATCCACAAACACCGACCATTTTACAGACGCTTCCTTCTTTGCCCCCGGCCTAGGTGCTTTCCCCCCGGCAGCAGCCCTGGCACAGGCAGGGGCGGTGGATCCCGACCTCACTGCTCCTCCATGGGTGGAGAAAGAGGGGACACAGGCACCGATCAAAAAAAAAACGAAAAATCAGAATTATAAAGCAGGAATGTGTGTGTGCGTAAATGTGCAACAAGCTAATGCACCATCCAGGATGGAGGGATGGATGGAGGAAACGGTGCCTCTCACATGAACGTGGTGCGCTCCGGTGCGTCGGGTGAGGAAGGTGGCCTCCCTCCTCTGCAAAAGATGACGCGTTCACACAAGCCTGCATAAAATCAGGAGAGTCCTCAGCAGCGGCTCCTGGAGGCTGAGGTTTTAAATGCACCCTCAAAAAAAGGTATTATCAAATAATATTGGAATAATTATTGATAAAGTTAGCTTTGAAATGTCTTCAAAACATTGATCTTTATCCTTTCACATGCAGGGACACTTATATTTTACTTCTCTCTCTTTTTTTCTCATCTTCTAATTTCGAAAATTAAAATGACTAATTTATTAAAGTCCAGTGGCTCCCAATTTAAAGGGATTGGGACTCCCGCCATCATTTTCCTTTGTGGAGTTCAAGTATGAATCATAACATGTAAATTTTTCCTCAAAATTGTACTTACATGAAGTATTTGAGTAAATTGAGCTGCATCCCCTACTTTGCAGATTAAGGTGTTACATACAAAACATACCTCATAAAGTATAATAAAATAGAACTTTCAATTCAGTCAACAATGAGGCACATTTATTTGCTATTCTCTGTAGTCAGTTTGCATAGCATTGATTACATCACTGTCTTATAGATTTTAATGTAACGTTGCAATAATGTGTACCTGTGCAGATGTTAAAATAAAGTGTGTTAAATTTTGCATCACATGTTGAATCCATCATCAACTGCATCAACATTCATGCAAAATAAACAAAAGGTTAATGCCACAAATATAAAAACATTTATATAATATAAAAAAAATTCCACATTGGGATTTTGTTTTTCCCAATCTGTAAACTCCAGCACAGGGAGGAGGCGTAGCATTATACATTTACATTAGTAACAGCATTTCAAACAGTTAAAAACACAGAAAACGTACTTTCATTGTACTTTTCATCATCCACCAAGATTATACTTAGACACTATAGAGTAGAGTAAAGTTAAATAAACATTTTGTTAAACAATTCTTGAATAAAAGCAAAATGGTTTCCCTTTATACAATTCTCTTTCCTTTCCATACCTCCTTGTTTCCTTCCTTATGCATCTTGTTGCTTTGTTTCCTAAATCCTCCTTCCCTTGCCTCCACCATAAAAAGATTTTCTTTTTTGGTGTAAACGCTCAACCTTGTGTTAAAGGTGAAATAACTTTTAATGTGATGAATAAAAGCACAGGAATTACTCCTGAGAGAAATGAGTGCAATGTTATGTAAAGGCTGCATTTCCACTATTGTCAGAGAGGGGCAGTGTGCACCCTGCAAGGCCACAAAACACACACACATTCTTAACACTAAGTGTGGGTTCATATGCCAATTCCATTAGTCAGCGGAACCACAGAGCAAAATCCTCGTCTCCTCCCACAAACTCTGAGAAGGAAAGAAGGAAAGAAGGAAAACATTCAGTTACCTCCAGCTGGAAAAGAAAATATTCTGCAGTAGCTGACTCTGTGGAAAGACCAGGACTAATAAAATCTATGCAGTCCCAGCACAAAACTTAAAAGCTTTAAATATGTTGAGAAAGAGACAACCTTTGACCTTTGATTTGATCATACATACAGATGTTCGCAGTCAAAACACTCAAATCCAAACATTCAGGAGTCACTGACCTCCGCTCCTCACTCGGCTCTGGGCAGGAAGCGCAGGTTGATGGGCTTTTCGGGGATCAGCAGGACTCGAGTTTTAGGGTGCACAATCGTGGCGCCTTCCTCTGGCTTGACCTTGTAGTGCTGCATCAGCTGCAGGGCAACACACAAACTGATAAGTGCAATGTTGATAGATAGATATCTTAAAATGCATATTTAGTGAAATGTAATGGAAAGTTTGCTGAAAACACTCAGCAGTCTTATAATGCTATAGGACAACAAATCGTCACAGACCCTCGACAGAGCAAAATGCATCTCCATCTCCGCCAACCTCTTCCCCACGCAGGCTCGCACCCCAACACCAAACGGGATATAGCTGTACGGTCGATGCTTGTTTAAGCTTTGTGGCAGCCAGCCGGAGGTCACAGAGCGGAGCCAGCGATCTGGGGTGAATTGCTCTGGATTCGGAAACGTTGCCTCATCGTGACAGACAGCAAAATGACACAGATGGAACTGAGTCTTAAAAGAGAGAATAATAACAGAATTAAACACAAGACAAGTTAAATAAGCACTATAAAAGGTGTCACAGCATCTGGTCCTTTGGGTTCTGCCTCCCTACCTTCTTCGGGAACCAATAGTCGCCCACAATCACCTCATTCTCAGTAACATAGCGTCCATTTCCAGGTACCACGGGATAAAGGCTAAAAGCACAGAACAGGTTTGTCAACTTCACAGATCAGGACTTAGTAGTCGGATCATGTAAGTAAAATATTGATACCACTTTTTAAAGTTATCGTGTTTTAAAGAATAACTCTTTTGAGAGTATTCAGAATGTTATTATTACTAGTGCATTATAACTATKTAACTAAACTATATAACACTGCATCTCACACTGGTTAAAGGTATATATACTTGCTTTTCATCCTGTGGTCAATGCCTTCTTAGTTCCAGTCAATGAAAATCTTAATACTTCAAAATACAGTGATGTTTTAGACAAAAGTGCACTTTGCTATAGGTTTGCTATAGGTTTGAGGAAGCCTGCAGGTGTCCACTTACCTTTGGCTGTGTGGTGAAAAAACAGTTTCTACATGAGACAAATCCAAAAAGCCGCCGGCTCACCGTAACGTCTCCTTTATGACAGCCTTCAGGTAGGGCATCCTGCTCAGGTCGTCTGTGGTCGGTTCCCGTTTGTTGGGACACACGGAGTTCACCTGGCGGTACAGCAGCTCCTGAGCCCTCTCGTCCCGTGCTAAGTGGTACAAAGTCCACGTCAAGGTGTTGGATGTCTAAGTTGAGGTGGGAGTAAATGAGTAGGGGGAGAGGAAGAGAAAAGGACACAAATTGAACATTCAAGTCGCTTACACTACACACAAAGAATACAAAAATACACATTAACATTTTAAGACCCATTTGCAGAATGACCCTTATCTATCTTACATCCAGACAGGTTTTTTGCATGTGTCCAAAACTCTCTCTTGACATCCACATTATTAATTATAATAATAATTCATATAATATTAGTTTAATGACATGACTGAGGTCCGACAGTTTTCAAACTCACAGAACAAAACCAACAAGTCTCAACTGCTCCTGGGAATGTAACCAGACCAGTTCAACACTATAACAACAATCAACTCTGTACATGTTGGTTTTTGTTGTTGACTGGTACCATAGAGAGCAGCATTAGGCGTAGAGGAATTTCTCAGACTGTTCCTTGGACTGGAAATAATTGGAATATTTCTTAAAGCCTCTTTGTCTGCCTCGAGAGACAGTGCCCTCTTTCTGGGAGCCCTAACAAATGCAACTGTGCCCGCTGTGAACAGGCAGCAGACTAAAACCCCCCTCACCGTGTCGACTCCTCCAAGCAGCAGCTCTGTCAAAGTGATGTAGATCTGGGATCTGGTCAGCTTTTCACTGGACAGCAGATAACTCAGGTACAGACCGTCTGCTGGCTCACCGCTGCGCACCTGAGCCACGATTTCAGCCATTCTCCTGTCGATGAGTTTCTGGCCTTCCATACAAACAGACACGCAGACATTCAGACATTAATGCAATTTTACTTACTTGAAACTAAATCCAAACTTGGAACCCCGAACTACATTCTCTCCATGCCTACCTACGCTACAGAGGTCGTCCCAAGCCTGAACAAAACGTTTCCAGAGGGGGAGGATGCTGCGGCTCCAGCGTGGGGTAAAAAACACTGCATCAGACAACCCCAACATGGTGTTGACAGCGGCGATGAATTTCAGTGTGTCGTGGGGAATATCCTCCTGCAGGCAGCCCAGCCTGGTTTCAAACAGGACTGAAGAGACAGCTGTGGAGGGTAAAATTGAGGTAAAGGTTCACAAGAATCAAAAACATCCCTCACTGCCCTCAACAACCAGTGGTACTACAGAACCTCTTACCCTCGAAGCCAAACTTGTAGAGCTCAGCCGCCATGTCTGAAACCGTGGCCTGGTCCTGACTGCGACAGCGAAGGACCTCAATGCGTTGCACCATATCTCCGACCACCTGTTGTATGGTGGAGGCATAAACTGACACTTCCCCCAGCTTCAGCATTTTGGGGTTCAAACATTTGCGGATTTGGTACCAGTCTGTTCCTGTGCTAGAAAGTTAAAATTACAAATTTAGACAATGAACGAGCACAGAGGAACTCCTTCACAAATTCGTATCCTTATGAAAGTTAAGTTAAGAAAAAAATTGCATATCTCCACTCACCTCACATGCAGGCCGTAGTCATGTCCTCTCAGGTCCATGTAATCCTTCCAGTGAGACATATCAGCTCGGACAGGGTAGCGACCCTCTTGCTGGATCACTTGAGCTATGAATTCCGAACTCGCCACACTGACCATTTCAAACGAGCCAACCTTAGAGCGCCAAATGGGCCCGTACAGATTCTTCTGTAAAACCTTGAAAACAATGGCAGAGTGTTAAGTCAAAAGCCTGAATTTTGAAAGTACAGTGCTGGAAAACTTAAATAAAATAATATTATTAAACAAAATATATAATCCAATCACAAGTAATATAGATTTTACTGTTTAACAGTAGAGTCAAATTACCATAATCTAACCCAGTTAGAACATTGAAATACTGTGTAAGTACACCTATAATAATACTTAAAATAGAAACATAAACATAAAACATAAATAAATAAGAAAAAGTTATTATCTAACTGTTTTTTGTCAATCACAAATACCTGTAACCAGTCTGTACAGTTAGTTGTCATAGAGATTGATATATTTCTAAGTTTTTAGTAAACTTGTAAACCAGTTAATATCCCTGCAAACTTGTACTGTAAACTGCATTCATGTCAAAAGTGCATGTTCTTTGTCGATTGTTGTGTATGTTTGCTTTGCAAAGTTCTTCTCAAAAACATCTCGGAAGTTTAGTTATAAGGAATTTTATCAAAAATAAATAACATTACTTTTGCGATGAATCCTCCGCAGCCCGTAACGCACTCGCTCGTACCTGCATTAGGTGCATTCTTTTTGAATATCCTTTGAATAACATCCAGTACAGGCTGGTGGGTATGCTGGGCCCCGGAAGTTCGTCGATGGTCTTCAGCCTCCCAGTCTCCGTGGACGTCTGGACGTTTAGGTTCCTCCTGATGGAAGAGTCTCCGGGCCGGAGCTCCTGCGCTGCCGGGATTGTCCGGGCGCAGGGCGCAGAGAGCCGCAGAGGACGGACCGCAGCCGCCAGAGTGTTCATCGTGTCTATTTAGTCTCCGGTCAGGGAAGTGTCTTTTAATGTTTGATCATAGACTTTCTAACAGGGAGAACTTCCCTCTGTAGGGGGCGCCCGAGAGACAGTCCCGAATGAATGTGGGGGGACCTGTGGAGCTGTGGTTTCCAAAATGTCCAAAGGGGAGAGACATTAGATCTAATTCAATTATTTTAGATGTATTTTATGGTGAAACACATTTATGTAACTATTAGAAAATATTATAATATAGCTTAATGCCAGGACCAGGTCATGACCTATGTTTGGTCAATCACCGGAAAAGCACTTTGAATTGCAACAGATTTGTTTTTAAGGTGCTATTTAAATGAAGTTAAAATGTGTCACTGTTTTGAGATATCTTGACGGTGTGATAGCAATTTAAGTTTTTGCACAACACACCACTGCAGCTTGTGCAGTCTTGTTTTAGTCAACAGAGAAATATCTTATAAGATACAATCATTCTTATCTTTTAAAGACATGACATGAAACGCCTTCATCTCAAACACACCTGGATTATTGCAATTTGGAGAAATCGGTCTTAAACAGGGGCACAGGCTGTTTGTATGAAACACTGTGCCGTCACAGAGTAAAAATGCAATCAGCCAGATGTGAAATAAATATTTTTTTATTGTTTTCATCGAATTTTGCCAAAATACAGCAACCATTTAACGGCATCGCTGCGTCTCTCAGGACCCAACCATGCATAAAATCTCCCATTTAAAAAAAAGGTAAAATAAAAAATATATATTAAAAAATTATGCGTACCACTGATATACAGATCTGATATAAACAGGCGTATTGGTCACAAACCAATTAGAATTATAAACATGGCTTCTTTTACAATACACAGAGACCAAACATGTGGGATATAAGTGTACTTTTCTTTAAAAAAAAAAAAGGGTACATTTATTTTACACATTTGTACATTATTTTTATTTCATTTTCAATGTTATTTCAATGTTCTCACCCCCTACAGTTAGAATGCTCAAGGCATTTCGGGTGCAGTGTCCAATGAGCACAAATTGCAGTAAATGCACGTTAACAAACTCTCTCACACACACACACACACA